CCCTTGAACCTTAAACGGCCCTTTTCGCTTGAGATCTGCCCGCCTCATGGTCGGTGTCTCGCAGCCGTGCTGCTACACCCTGCGTCGACTAAGCGTGGGAGGAAAGTGGCACTACAGTAGAAGCCTAAAAGTTGGAAACCCAATAGCCTCCTTCCTTAAGAGTGATGTATAGGGAATCCCATCACTATTTGTCCTTAACCCGGTTTCCAACTTTATGGGGTCTACTATAGATCAAGGGGGTTCAGAGTGAGTCTGCACTAGAGACTTCAGGGCTTTAGGCAGAGTGGCTCGGCACCACGCAGATTCCAGGAACTGTTTTTGGTCATAGACGCTGAAGCAGTAACCAAAAGATCAGCGATCTCGTCCACAACGCTGTCTGAAAAAGTCATGGAAGCATTAATCCGTGGTGGCGGCTACTGTAGCCTCAGCCCGGGTTTAGGGGAATGGGGTTTAGGGGTTTCGACTCACACACTCGCACCAGGCAGCCATGAACTTTAGAGATTTTACGTTAAGTTCAACAATGCGCTAACTGGATCCTAAAACCTACAAGGCCCAAGCTCTGCACTCCAGATCAACGGTCAGATCAGGCCGAAACCTCCCATCAACTGAAAACCCCGGTACCCTAACCCAAGACCCTCAAGACAGCCAAGCCAAGGCTTCAAAACCTGAAGTGCGCCCAAAGCCCTAAACGCTCATGGGTGTCATGATAGCATGGCTTCTTATGTAAGGAGTCGATGTCGATGAGCCCATGCATGGAACGAACACCACAGCAAACAGGATTCGAACCGTGGGATCGTTTATCCTCCGCTAAGTCTATCACAGTTTAGGGCTTAGGGCTTAGGGCTTGGGTTTAGGGTTTAGGGTTTAGGGTTTAGGGTTTAGGGTTTAGGGCCTAAACCCTAAACCCTAAGCCCCTGGACCCTGCACGCAAAGCCCCGGACCTTAAACCCCAAAGCCCTATACTGATATTAAGCCCCGCACTCTTTCCCCTTAAAGGAACCCTTATACTCACTGTGTAATACACCTAAAAGAACCCTTGTACTGACCCTCCAAAAAAAATGGGTAGTTCTTTAAGTTAGGGTCCATTTTAAAAGGGTGCCGTACTATATTGGGGACCTAAAGCGGGACCCTAAACCCTAAACCCTAATTTAGAGAACTACTCATGTGGAGAGTCGCCTTCAGGGCTCCGACGTCGCCCCAGGGAGCCACTCGCCTCGACAGGAAGCGCAGCAAAAAGACAGCCAGAGGTTTAGGCCTAGGCTTTTGGGTTCCGGGTTTGGGATTTACCTGGGAATCCAAAAAAATGCCAGTTTTAAGGGCTGGACCCTCTAATTGAGGGGTCATGGTCTACTATTTTGTAGGGTTGGGGGATACAGGTATGGGTTTATAAGAAACAGCAAAGTAACAAAGGGATACCAGTTCCTTACGGCTCATTATGGAGACTCACGTAGAGAGTTCATGTGGTGAGGGAGCTGTAGGCACATTCCACGCGTAGAAATGAAATGAGCGAAGTAAGGCTTGAGGTTTAGGGTTTAGTCGGCTCTGTGATTTCGGTTTCGAATTGCCGAGATAGCGTATCGCAGTCTAATAACAGCTAAATGCAGCTAAATTCATTAAACTCTAGATATCCTAAACCCGAAACGACTACTAATCTCTCTGAACCCTAAACCCTAAACCCAAAGTCCGAAACGCCAAACCTTAAACCCTAAACCCTATAAATCCAAAACCCTAACCCCCTATACCCCTAAACCCAAAAATCCTAAATCCAAAACCCGAAACCCTGAAACCTAAACCCTAAACCCTATACCCTAAACCCTATAAACCCTAAACCCTAAAACCCTAAACTCTAAAACCTAAACCCTAAAACCCTAAAGCATAAACCCTAAACCCTAAGCCCTAA